ATTGTGTGAGTATTTCCTGCATTTCCACATCTACAGTTTAGCAGCATAACTAAATTAAGGTCCTGATTCTGAAGCTAAGGTGTTCAGACAGGCTTCAGTGCCATTGAAGTCAGTGGTGGGATGGAGAGTCACTGGTCCTCCTTTACAGGATTTAAATGGTGATTGAGACTTAAATACATTTTCCAATGAAAATGACATCTGGTGTTCTGAAAAAAACATTCATTCCATTGGCTTTGGAAGTGTTCTAGGTTGTCAGATGATGCAAGTGTACATTTGCATTAGCTCACAGTGGTGATGCTTTCCAAATTTCATCATGAGGTGAAACCATAATGACTGCATTCTCGGACTGCTTTTAGTTTTCAAATATTAAAAATTCTGTTAGATAAAGGTGGGGGGACAGAAGAAAAGGAAATGAAATAAGTAAAAATGTACAAAACAAGAAGTCAGTTGCTGTCAAAAAAATGCCTTTAGCAAGAAGGGTAACAGATTTAAATCTGGTGATTTCATACATCTGGTTATGTCCGGAAACAAAATCTCCTTAGCTTGAAGAACTATATAAGCTGTGAACTGTATGTACTCCTTGATGCAGTGATAAAATCAGGCTACAGTTGCTTTTATATCCCCAGGAAGTACAAGAGTGGCTTAAGATGTTCAAGGGGAAATGTCGGTGCCCACTGAAATCTGAATCCAGCTGGTTGGAACGGTCATTGGATAAGGCCAAAGGAGATAAGAGAAAGAAAAGGTGCTATGGGGACCCCTCACCTGCTATACTGAATTTGGAGCTGGGGCTCACAGTCTCTGAGTTCCATCAGACAAGGCTAGAATTAATTCAGATTAATTGTGAGGCTTTGGTACACTGTAGAATGCATGTTTTATTCTGTCAAAATATGTACTGGAAGTGCCTTTAGCTAAAATAAAATACCAAGAGCAGGTTTTGTTTTCCATATTCACCTTCAATAGCCTGCTTTAATCCACGGATAGTCTTACCTGACAGGCTTTTGCCATTCAGGAAGCTTCTCTGATGGTCAAGAGAAGTGCCTGTGCAGGAGCACATGTGTGCTTGGTCTGAGGCTGGTGGGACACTTGCAGGATTAGCTGAAATATCACATAGGGGAGGATATCTGGCTCTAACTAATGTAATAAACTAGTAAGCAAAGACATTTTTTGCCTTTAAAACTCCTTCATTGAGGATTTTAAAGAAAGAGGGGTTGGCAAAAAGATTAAAATAACACATAGGCTACAGACTGATGTATTTCATTAGGGCAACACAAGAGATCACTTGACATTCTCAGGCCCTTACGGAGCAGCCAGACTCCTCTTTGCTCACACGTTTTTTATTTTGAAGTTCAAGGTATTTCTGGTTAGGGCACGGCTCTTGCATACGCGCGCCCGTGCACACATGGCCCTGCGTGGATTATGTGAGGGGCTTAATTCTGACTGCCTGGATTTGCAGGCAACGTGTTGACAGGAAATTAGTTTGTACCAGGACGTGCCTTTTGAGGGCTATTTCCATGCAGTTGTGATGATGACATCAACGTGCGGAGGTCAGGTGGGGGGGGGCAAAGACAGCCCCTTGTCTGGAAGTTGGTTTTGGCAGTGCCTCTGTGGGACTGGAGGGTTAATCATAATTGGTTTCTCTGGCTGCCGTTTGCATCAAAAGTCCGGGTAGCCTTAATGAACGTTGCCTGTGTTAATTTGAAACCCTTGCTGGGAAATCATGGGAAAATGGAAAAATGCATACTTGCATGTCACCCTTCAGATTAACAGCTTAGCCAGCGCTAGAGCTCTCGGAGCGCATCGTGCGGCTCCGATGCAGCTCCAAGCAGCTGGTAAAGAGATCTCTTGCTGTAAACCTGTGCCTGCCTGTGATTTTTTTTTTTTTATGGGGTATCCTGTTAAGCCAAAAGCTAGTTTGCTGTAGACTCTGTGCTAAAAATGGTGCATCATATGACAGCTTAGTGAACTATGTAAATAAAAGCCCTGAAATTGGAAATTCCGGGTGTCATAGGTCCCAGGCATCTCTTCATTTGATACTGTTTTTATTATTGATAGTTTTTGTGTGTGTGGTTTTAAAATTTTTTTACTCTACTTTTAACAGATAACAATAAAGCCCCTAATAATGCACTGGTATCCCCCTCGATTGTTTGAGCAGTATTATGCCATCAGTGATTGCTTAGCTGCAATTTTCTGATTATGGCCTAATTGCATGAAAGTCTTTGCAATGTACATTTCCCCTGTAACAGTGGGGGTTTTCTTTAGAATAAACACTTCTTTAATTTATTTTTTTTCCAGTTTGAAGCTTGTAAGAGAAATGTTTATATTGGGGAAAGATGTAATATCCGTTCTAGCCACCTCTCTTTAAAACCAAATTTCTTCTTTGTTTCTTTAAAAAAAAAAAAAAGAAAAAGGTAGTTTAGCATCTCCCCCGAAGTCTTCTAGCTTCAGATCATCTCATATAATCTTAACATTTTGGTCCCAGTCTTACAATTATTTTTTTCCTTTGCTTAGCTTTTTCTTGTGTGCAGTCTATTGGGTATAAAGTCAAGTAAATGTGAAACTTATGCAAGATGGGAGGCCTGAATCCCTACTGAGACAAGCTTATGTTACAAAGTTAATTTTAATTTCCTTTAAGCTCTGTGTCCTTCGAAAAGCATTTACTATCCTTGTCCAACACCTCAAGTGTTTTATCATGTTCAGCCCTCTATAAGTCAATGGGACTGTGACCCAGGGGTATGTTAGAAATGCTCTAATATCACTTGGGAATTTCTAACGCGGCTGCAGCAAACTGAAAAGCTGATGACTAGCTAACCCAAGTCCCTTCTCTAATATTTCTTAGCAACCTAAATAGTCTGTTAGCCAACATTTATTATAGCTCTTTAAAGATATTTTCCAGACTAGGTCTGATAAGTTAACTGTTTTGCACTGGAAGATTACAGAACCAGTTGTAGAATAGGAAAGTTAGAGAACTTATTTGGAAGAGATCTGTACAGCAGCGATGGAGTCATTACTGTTGCTTTGGCTCGGGGACATTTAGGAAGCACTATGGTTGCAGGCATGCTGGTGGTGGATGGCAGTGCTGCAGCAATATACATGCGTAATAACTATGCAACTATATGTGTGTGTGCTCTATCTGTTGGAAATAATTGCAGTGCTTATATTTTAAAATCTAGTATTTCTCTTTGGAAACTAGTGTTTGGCAGGATAGTTGTACTGCATTTGCGTATGTAGGTGCCTGTATATCTGTATAAACATTTAAAAGTGCTTTTGGAAAAGGACTTTCAAAAAATTTGAGATTAAAAAATTATCTTAATCCTATTTGTGGTGACAGTAGAAAAATGTACGTTGCAGGAAGAAACCCGGCATTGTTTTAAGTATCGGGTTTCTTTTCTCTTCTTAGTATGAAGTTAGAAGGATCCAGAAGAATTGGAGAGATTAATTTTTTAAAATTGCATTGAAAAGGGCCTGTTTAAGGATCGAGAAATGAAGCCCTCCCGTGTGCAGTGGAAGGGGGAATGGCCCTGGAAGAGCAGTCACATTGGTGAAGGAAGATGTAGGCGTGTGCGTGCCGTCCGCAAGGGAAGGTTGTGTCGAAAACAGCAAGGCTTTAGGCACGTGCCAAGAGCAGGGCTCCTGGTTTTTGCCAAAGAAGGATAAAACCCACGTTTTCGGCACTATCTAGCAGTCCCCAGCTGCTTTCCCCAGCCTGCTTCAGTTTCCTGCCCCTGCTCAGCAGAGGGAACTTTTGGGATGAGCTGCTGCCTGTGCTTGCCCTGGTTCCCCCCGTAATTTACATAGAGCTGTGTGCTACAAGGAACACACATATACATTGTTTGTGTAGTGCGTCTGCCAACATATGAGTGTATACGGTTATCTGTGTATGGTCCTAGTATCTCCTAGGTCTAGTATCCTTTCAAAAATAAAAAATTATATGGTGTGTGGTCACCTATTTTTTTTTTATAATGTTTCAGAAATAAAGCCTTTTTATGCAGATTTAGAAGGATGTTATAAAGAACACAACCATTCATGAGATGTATTATTTATCACAACATATGCTTGGTCTCTTGATTTGATTTATGCAATGTCTTCCTTTTCTGCATTCTTTCTTATACGTGTGAATATATGCACACAGACATATATATGTATGCGCACACATATTTATGTGTCAAAGAATTGTCTAGGAAGAAGGTGGTACATCATTTGGTTATTCTTTTTAAAATATTAGAAGTTTTAATGAAAATAATACAGTTTATTTTTATAATGCTTTTTGTTACATATAGTTAAGCAATTTGAGCAAATTTTCCATAAACTTCAACGTTACCAGAGTTAATTTCAAGGAAAGAAAAAAAAAAAAATGCCTAGAATAGTTTATGCCTTGTCTGTTTAGGTTTTTCACATATTGGTGATTTCAAAACTGGAGTTTTCCGTTTCTCAGTCTTGGGGTTTTTTTCCTGGTATCTGGAAAATCAGCTGAGTAAAGGACTGACAATGCTATTATGAGGCAGTTGGTCAACACTCAATTTATTCTCATTTGATGGGGAGAACATAAAAATGTAGAGCAACTCTGCAAAATACATAACTACCTAATTTTTTATACCGCATAGGGTGGTGTAAGCACTCACTTGGATGGTGCTAAAAATGAAAGTTTGTCTGACTAGTAAAGAAGCTGCATGAATTCAGTTATCTTAAAAATGTTTATTCCAGACATCCACATTGTGTTAAATTCTTTACAATCTACACAGCAGGGTAGTCAGTAAAAAACCCCTCAGTTGCTTTACTGAATACCAAGAAATCTTTTGAAGGACTAATTCTCCGATTTACTTATACTCACTTCATATGACTGATACTGTTTCAGGGATTGAAGGTGAAAATAAAAATCAGAAAGAATTAAGATAAGAAGATGCACCTCTGTAAATTGAAAAGAACAGTATATCCTTTCTCCAATTTTCTAAGAAGGGAAAGCTAATGCTGTGACTTTTTTTTTTTTTTTTTTTTTTAATCAGCTCTTCAGGTGCTGGAAATGTGGCAGACCGTGTCTTGGCTCAGTTGTTAACGGAAATGGATGGGATAGAACAGCTGAAGGACGTGACAATTTTGGCAGCTACAAACAGACCGGACATGATAGACAAGGTACGAATAGATGCACTGTTGTATATACTGTTCTCTTGAGAAGACCAGATTTTGGTATAACTTCATTCTTTTACTCTCCAAACAATTGTCTAATCGATTTAATGATTAAGAATAGAAGCTTGAAAATGAAGACAAGGCAAAGGAAAGGATTATGTCTCTCGCTCCCCCCCATCCCTCCCCC